AGAACAAGTTGTTCCATCACCTTTCCAGGGATGGAGGTAAGGCTGACCAGTCTGTAATTACCCAGGTCCTCCTTCTTGTAGACTGGAGTGATATTTGCTGTCCTCCATTCCTCAGGCACCTCTCCTTTATCATCAATGCATTGGAGGAACCTCCTAGACTGTGAATGGCTGGCTGTGTAGGCCTTTCAGCAAATATCTGGGTAGTTAAAATCCCGCACGAGGACTAAGGCCTGTAGCTGCGAGGCTGCTTTCAGCTGCCTGTAGAAAGCCTCATCAACTCCCTCATCCTGATCAGGAGGTCTGTAGTAGACCCCCACAACTGTATCACCCATGCCAGCCTGTCCCTTAATTCATACCCACAGACTTTCCTTTGTTCCTCATCAGCCCCTGGACAGAGCTCAATACATTCTAGTTGCTCTCTCACATAAAGAGCAACTCCACCACCTCACTTCACTGACCTGTCTTTCCTAAAAGGGACATAGCCATCCATGACCACATTCCAGTCATGTGAGCTGTCCCACCATGTCTCTGTTATTGCTACCAGATCATAACCCTTAGACCACACACAGACCTCTAACTCCTCCTGTTTGTTCCCCATGCTGCCTGCATTGGTGTGCAGGCATTTCAGGGAGCCAGCTGAGCACGCTGGTGGCACACTTGGGAGGCAGGAAACCTTCTGGTCTCCATTAATACTAGAACAATGCCCCACTAGTTCAAACCCAGCTATAACCCCCTCCCACTGCAAATCTAGTTTAAAGCTCTGTGAATGAGCCCTGCTAACTCCTGCCTAGGACCCTTTGTCCCGAGAGACAGGGCAGCATCTTCCCATCAATGCCAGCCAGCCCGGTGTCCTACAAATTAAACCATCCAGTTTTGTCCTCTACCCCCATCAAGTCTAGTTTAAAGCTCTCACAGTGAGCCCCACTAACTCCCGGCCAAGAACCCTTTTCCCCCTTGTTGAAAGCTCTATGGCACTGCTTGCTAGCAGACCTGGTGCCCTGTAAACATCTCCATGATCAAAAAACCCAAAGTTCATCTGACGGTACCAGCCTCTAAGCCATACGTTAATCAGTTGTGTTTTCCTAGTCCTTTCAGCTTTTGCTGCCACTGAAGGAACTGAGGAAAAGATCACCTGTGCTCCAGATCCTGCAAACATTCGGCCTAGTCCTCTGAAATCCCTTTTCATTGCCCTGGGACTTGCCCTGGCAACTTCATCAGTGCCCTCCTGCATGAGCACTAGTGGGTGGTGACCAGAGGGCTGCGCCAGGCCTGGGAGTTTCTCAGTAACATCCCTAAAACGGGCTCCAGAGAGGCATCAGACCTCCCTGGAGGTTGGGTCTGTACGGCATATAGGGCATTCAGATCCCCTCAAAAAAGAATCTCCTACAACAACTACCCTCCTTTTGTTCTTAGCAGAGACAGTCCTAACACATGGGGCAGGCTGCCTCAGCAACTCCCTGGACAGACCTTTGTCAGTAACCTCAGTTACCTGATTTTCCTGATCCAGGGCCATATACCTGTTCTGTAAGGGCATATGTGAAGGTGAGGGAAGCCAGGAGCAGGTGCACCTGTTGCCCCGAGCAGGGACCCGCTTCCAGTTCCCCTCTTCTCTCAGTTCCCCTGCCTCTGCCAGGTGACAGGAAGGCAGAGGATCCTCTACTTCTCATGAAGCCTCCACCTTGAGGCTTTGTCTCAAGGAGGGTAGGGTATTACTTCACCAATCTATTTGTCTTTCACAATCGCAGATACTCGGTAATCTTTCCACCTCTTCTTCCAGCTCAACCACTGGGCAAAGTAAGTCACTCCCCTGGTCACAGCACACACAGGTGCTCTCTCTGCTCTCTTCTGACATGACTGCCAGGCTGAGACATTCTGTGCAGCCAGAGACCTGGACAGCTGCATTCTTGAGAGGCACTTCTGTCTGGGTTGCCACTGTCCTCCTGGCAATGATTTTTGCCCGAGTGGACACTAGTGCTAGCTCTCCTTCCAGGGGGGGTTGGAGGGGATGATCATTAGCAGAGTTCTTACCTTGAGCCAAGAGGGCCCGTGCCCTGCTCCACTTGCCCTGCCTGCGCAAATTGCCGCACCAGGCCCTTCTGCCGCCCCATGCCCTGCTTGCTGCTCCTGGTCACCCTGCTCCCCAGGGGCTGCTCCTCTACCTGAGGGGTCAGGCTCCGTCCCTCCGCTGCAGAAGGGCTCCCCCAGCACCTTCCCTCACCTCAACGGCTTCACTGAAACAGCCAGTAAAGTTACATGACAGCAACAAGAAAGGACTGTTAATTAGACACACGACAAATATACAGAGCTTTTTTTCCTTCCCCTGAAGGCTTTGCTTCCATAATACAGACTGACAAAGGGAAAGTAGAAGAGACTATTCAATGAGTAAGCCACTTCATTTTTTGTGTAGACATGCACATCTCATTTGTGAAAAAGTTCTTGTCCCACAGTAATTTATACAAAGCA